TATAATCTCTTCCCTTTCAATATTTTAAAATATTTTTAATATTTAACCTTTTGATATTTTAATATTGCCCTTTTAATATTTAACTATTTCCCTTTTAATATTAAACTAATATTCGTTTAATATTTTAACTTTAGCCTTAGGTCAGTGGGACAAAATGGCTGGAGAGAGTTTGGGCCAACTGGACAGCTGTTGCTTTGCACAAGACACAGTTCTCTGGAGGAAGCTCCCTGCCGGTGGAGGCTGCTGTCGGGCTTTTGTTGGTGTCCACACGTGTCTCCGAGGCAGCCGGGAGCAAAGCCTCAATGCTGTCTGGAGGCCGCTCCATATCTAATCATCTTAATGACATTAGATAAGTGATGTTAGCAGTGGTAATAATAAGAATAACAAATAGCTTAAATTTACTGAACTTTTACTGCTGGCCTGTTCCAAGCATTTTTCCAAGCACTTTGCATTGGTTAACTCGTTTAATCCTCCTAATAATCCTATAAAGTAAATAATAGTAGTAGTAGTATTACCCTCACTTTACAGATGAGAAAACTGAGGCACAGAGAGATTAAGGAACTTGAGCAAGGACACGCCTCGAGAAAGTGGCAGGACTGGAATTCTAATAACCCTGAGTCAACCCAACAGCTTTTGAAAAAAGTGGCAGGACTGGGAGTCAAACCCAACAGGTTTTGAAAGATTTTCCAGTGAATCAGAAACAAATTCCAGGAATAGTTTTAAGGATTTTCGTTCATTCCTTCACTGGTATATTCGATTAACGTGAATGCTTTGATATCCCAGGCCCCACGTTTCTTGTTTAAATAATCAGATAAAATGGCCTATTGTACAGCATGGTAACTGTGGTTAAGAATAATCTTTTTTATACCTGAAAATTGCCAAGAGAGTAGATTTTAAATGTTCTTACCACCAAAAAATGTTAAGTATGTGAGGTGATGGATAAGTTGCACAACTTGATTTCATTATTTCTCAACGTATGCATATATCAAAACATCATGTTGCACACCAGAAATATATATAATTTTTATTTGTCAAAAAAATCAAATAAAATGGGATTTATTGCATGGTCTACCTTTACTCCTTGGATAGTAAGGAACAAACTGGGTGAAATAGAGTCTTTCAATCCTAAAACTGGAAGGGACCTTAGAGAGATGATCAGGATTTGGTGACCTACCTAGTCAAGAATTTTTGGTGATCTAAGGAAACCCTCCACCATTAACATGAAAATTGGGTTTCTAGAGTAAAACAAGGTTAAGTCTTTTTAGGTTGTGC